TTTTGAATGGCCTGACAAGGATGATCGTAGCCGTGACCATAGTGGTGACAAATATGCCAGCTCCTGCAATAATCTGTTTAAAAGTGCTCGTTGCCCCATTGGCATAGAACAAGACAATACGTATTGGTTGTTGAATTTCAAAGATTCCAGTTTGGCTACCTAAGATTCATAGAAAGGACCAAAGGTTTCTTGTATTCCTTCCCCATTTTTTCAGAAAGCTGATAACCGACTAATTCCAAAACTTTCCTCCCCGTTTCCATGCCCAAGTTTTGCTCTTCTACTTAACTTTGATCTTTTGCTGGTCTTGAGAAGGCTAGATATGATTAAATACTTGTTTCGTTGCAATAGAAAAGCTGAAATTGCATACATATGAATAAATCCGAAATCAAAAAGAAAGCAGATTAAAACATGAAGATCTGCAAAGTTGCTCTGCACGTACCTAAAGCTTTAAAGTCTTATAAATTGGCAATTTGCAAATACGTATACTCTATCAATATCACCTCATCTCGACATTTCCGAATATTTCAAGAAAGGCGAAGGCCCAAGTAATATCCATTTGAAATTCTCAATCATCTACACGTTTTAGTCAACTGCAAAACTGTTGTTTAAGCAAGCTGCACAAATGTTTCCTAGATGAACTCTAATTTTCAGCTGTAAATGCATAAATGTCGTTTTCATTCACTATTCGCCTTGTGAAATGATGGAGTATTACTCATTGTGCCCTATTCTGTTTTTTGCAGCATATGTAAGCGTTAACCGAACAAAAAGCAAAACAAAAAAGTAAATCAATATTTCATTTATGCAGTATCTAAACTCGTTAAGTAGACTATTATCTGCGATCTTGTCCGTAAGATATTGCGTTATGTTAATATAAACCTTTGCGTTTCTATCGTACCATACAAAAGTACAGTTCTGCTGCAAACGCGTAATGCATAAAAACGTTAAATCTTATTAGCGAGTGATCATTAGACAAAGCGTGAGGTAAACTCTACTTTATGAATGTTGCAGATATCCACTTAAGTAGACATTTGTTAGTCCCCTTTAGTTACATATAGATTAACCACCAACCAAGAAGCTCGCCCAGCGCGAGACCCGCTTTAGGTTTTGGACTGCTGAGAACCGAAGCGATAGAACCGAATATATCTGGAGCTCCATTTCCGAATGCCATAAAAGTCACACCCTTAAAGATGTGGATTGCTGAGTTCGAAAATTGCTGGCATGTGCTACTTACTGCTATGCTTTCACTTATTTTCAAATGTGCAACTATCGAGGCAACATTTGGCGAAAAGAAATCGTCTGCAGTAGTGGAAACCATAACAAATAACATAAGCATCCACACAACTCCTGCGGTAATTACGCCAATCTGAAGAGGAAAAAATTAGGGAGAATGAAGGAGTTCAGTGGTTAGTCCTGTAATGTGGAGAAAATGTCCACAGTTTCACAGATATTCATTCAGAAAAACGATTCTATTAAATCCATGCTTTCTAGATCACAAACAATCACAGACCCTTTTTCCGACGTCGAACTGACACTCGACGTATTGTGACCACAGTAAGTAACCACCTCCTTCACAAATGTCGTCATGGTAATTAACGTAGTCGCAGATTTCTGAATATTTCTTTACTTCAGTAAAAAAATGTAAAGAATTAGAGGAAGACTAAGTGAATTCTATTCCACATGCTGTTCTCTAAGAACTTCAGATAATTGAGAGTTAAATTCATTGTCAGATAATTACGGAGATAAGAGACTTGTGTAAAGGATCTACATCTGAATGTTCTATTTAGGAAAGTTAGCTCTCATTTAAATTTTCCAAGATGCTTTGCGTCTAAAAGTTTGGGAAAAAAGGGATAAGTTTAAACGAAAACATCTGAAGCAACATGACGCAGTAAGTTGTTTTCCTCAGATCTACACAGGACAGGTTTTTATGAAAGCATTCACCTTAGCTATTTACCATAAATTGTTAGTTCGAATCGAAACTTAGGGTTAATCACAAAGCTGCTGAAAAAGCTGCGATACAGCAAATGAATTTTAAACGCTCTTTTTTTGATCTTCGTTTTTTTCTCCTTGCGTAAGTAAGTTGCGTTCGTTTGTACCGAATGCACCTAATATCTCTAACATGCTTTTTCCATTTGCTTATCAAAGTTTACAGCTTTAGATCAAGTTTTCTGTTATTTCCCAACCAAGTGATAAATCGCTTCAATCGTTTCACATACCCTCTTTAGTCATATTTTTCCATACTTGACACACATCCGGATTTCCACCAGAGAAGGCAGTGGGCACTAGAGCGGTGGTACCCGCAATTACAGTTTGTGAACACCATGCCAAAAAGACGAATAGATGAAGCATATAAAGTGGTTCTGGAAAAGCAAAATTAAGATTTGGGCAGCGAGGCACTGAGACTATTTAGGCTGTATGGAATACAGATGAAATGAACAGGAAACAAGAAGTAGAAGACAAATTTAGAGTCGTTATCAGTGGCAATTCACCTTAAGCAAAACTTTCAGCTTCGACGAAGGCGGAAGCAAATATGAGAACTCGTAAAAGATCGTTGTGTGGGAGTTTGATAAGACAGATATAGGCGTTGTCCGCTGCACTGTTCATATTAAATCACAGGTTATGGAAGTTCACAGAAAAAAAGGTTTTAGAGGAAAGTTAAAAAGAAGTAACAAAGCAAAATCTCAAATTACAATAATAATGAACTCTTGGTATATTACGTATGCACATAATTCTCCTTAAATGTTGGCACTAAGCTTGTCAAAAATTCAGTTTTATAATTTATAATTATATTTATTTATAATTAGCCTCGTTTGTGCTTGGCCAAAAACTTTTTAAGCATCTCGCTGAAAATTTCGATTAACTGAAGGGTGTGTTGTAGTTTAGGATGAGCGCACTGTCAGAAGAAGTGCGTTAGAAATTTGAATTGCGCACTACTATATCCTTATAGCTCTTAACTTTAACATTATGAATGTACTAACTCTTTGATTGAGTTAGCCAAATTGTTGCCCTTCAACAAATTACTTCAAAGATCTAGGCTGATAAATTTAACAAATGGACCACATTTACCACAACTTCACAAACACGCTGCACTTTTACTAATAGCTGCTTTTGAGCTCTAAAGATTTGTTGGCATATCAGCACAATAGAGCAGCCGGCTTTCACCTTACTCTCAAAACGTAGCCTTATAAACCTAATCTTAGTGGAGTTCTGTTACTCAAAACTATTTAATTCAAGTATCTTGAAACCGCACTACCGATGAAATTGTTATATTTTAACATATATAACATGGAAAAAACATCTTATGCTGTTCAAAAAAATCAGAAGATTAAAAGCACTCAGAACACCAGAACCTCAGAACCATAAAATCAAACAAGCCTGATCATTTAAGAGGTCCAGATGTCTTTCATCAACCAGCATATGTCGATTCGAGAATGATAGCAGAGACGCAAGATTTAGTTATAGTGAACCCTCTTAATGGATACTTTGCATAAATACTGTT